CCCCCCCCCCCCCCCCCCCCCCCCCCCCCCCCCCCCCGCGCGCGCCCTGGGAACAGCATCTGCAGAGGTCCTAGGTGGAAGGGATTTGGCCTTGAGCACTGAGACATGCCTGCTTGGCCCAAAGTAGAGAGTGGGCTTCCGCGTGTGGAATCCGGGTGGGAAAGCTTGGGCCTCCTCCTTCTCGGTGTCCCGGAATCTGCCACGCGGAAAACCCCTCTGCGCTGACCCTGTGTTCCACCCCCAGGTTGTCCACACTGGGGAGAAGCCGTACTGCTGCCTGGTCTGCGAGCTCCGCTTCTCCTCGCGCTCCAGCCTGGGCCGCCACCTCAAGCGCCAGCACCGCGGGGTGCTCCCAGCACCGCTGCAGCCTGGCCCGGGCCTGCCCTCCCTGAGCGCACCCTGCTCCGTCTGCTGCAACGTGGGGCCCTGCTCAGTGTGCGGGGGCGCGGGGACCGGCAGTGGAGAGGGCCTGGAGGGCGCGGGCGCGGGCAGCTGGGGGCTGGCAGAGGCCGCAGCCGCAGCCGCAGCCTCCTTGCCTCCGTTTGCTTGCGGCGCCTGCGCACGGCGCTTCGACCACGGCCGCGAGCTGGCAGCCCACTGGGCTGCGCACACAGACGTGAAGCCCTTCAAGTGCCCGCGCTGCGAGCGCGACTTCAACGCGCCCGCGCTGCTGGAGCGGCACAAGCTGACCCACGACCTGCAGGGTGCTGGCGCACCCCCTGTGCAGGTCTGGGTCCCGGGGGCCAGCAGTGGGCTGGAGACGGCCCGCGAGGGCGGCTCAGCCGAGGCAGGAGACGCACGATCGGCTTGGGACGGCGGGCTACTCCTGGGCCCCACCGGGGGTGGCGTGCCCGAGCTCGGGGGGCTGCTTCCGGAGGGCGGCGGTGAGGCCCCCGCGCGGGGTGCGGCGGCCGAGCCGTCGGAAGACACCCTGTACCAATGCGACTGCGGGACGTTCTTCGCGTCGGCTGCGGCGCTGGCCAGCCACCTGGAGGCTCACTCGGGTCCAGCCACCTACGGCTGTGGCCATTGCGGGGCGCTGTACGCGGCGCTGGCGGCCCTGGAGGAGCACCGGCGGGTCAGCCACGGCGAGGGCGGCGGGGAGGAGGCGGCAGCGGCGGCTCCTGGGGGGCATCCGGCATCCGGGGAGCCTGCGTCGGGCTCCAGCCGCGGCAAGAAGATCTTTGGCTGCTCTGAGTGCGAGAAGCTGTTCCGCTCCCCCCGCGACCTGGAGCGGCACGTGCTGGTGCACACCGGCGAGAAGCCGTTCCCGTGCCTCGAGTGCGGCAAGTTCTTCCGGCACGAGTGCTACCTCAAGCGCCACCGGCTGCTGCATGGCACCGAGCGGCCCTTCCCCTGCCACATCTGCGGCAAGGGCTTCATCACGCTCAGCAACCTCTCCAGGCACCTGAAGCTGCACCGGGGCATGGACTGAACCGCGAGGCCGCCCAGCCCTCAACCCAACCAACCCAGGGACTGGACTTGGCCCTGCCAGGGACCTCAGGACTGTGTGCAGGTGAGGCCCCGGCCCTTCAAGTCCAGAGCCAAGGCCCTAAGATGAGGCCCCGACCTGGCCATGGGGCCACCCAGAGCCCACACAGGCCCCCAGCTGGGGGACCACCAAGAAAGAGACCTCTTCCGACGAAGGGGTCGGAGAACATATTCACTGGGGGACCTAAACCTACGGAGAGACTCCTGAGCTTGAGACCCCAGGAATGTGTGTGGGCAACCCCAATCAATAGGCCTCTAAGATGTGGGGACCTCCAAATGAGAAATGGGTCTCCACCAGCACCTCTCAGCTAATTAAGTGTGGGTACCTCCAAGGGAAGACTGCCCGCTCCCAGACAGCCATCATTCTCCATGACCTTGATCTGGGGAATGCAGGGACCGTGTTCCCAAATCTTCCAGGATCCCCTCCAAATACTACCCACCAGTCACTGGTGACCCCAGAAAATGAATATAGCCGAAATCTGCCTTTCCCCCATTTCATTCCCAATACTGAAAGAGGACCAGGGTAGATGACCTTGCCTTCAACTCCCCCGCCTTCCAATTAGGTCCCTTTCTTTACCACTGAATGGATCGACCCTAAGGATCTTCCCCCACCCCAAAACACTAGGATAGACTGGTCCGAAATCCCCCTAGCCAGTAGGATGGACTGACCCAAATGCACTGGGCTGGTCCACATAGTGGCCTGGCCCCACCCTTCTTAGAGTGAATAGGACAGACACTCCCTTATCCTGTAGAGTGTGGCTGGGTCCACGTGACTCCACATCCTGTGACCTCATCCAGGTGGAGGTGGTGGGCTTCGGGGTTTTCCTCCCCCGCTCCTGTAGCACTAGTCCATCTTTCTCTCCATCTCTGTTGGTTTGTCTCTGTGTTCCTCCTAACCCCAAGGGGAAGGGGGGAAATTGGCTAGGGGATTCCCCCCTTGTGAGCCTTGACTTTGCCCCCTTCTCCCACTCCCTAGTGTCTCCAGGACCCCAATAAACCTTGTCCTGTCAATCACTACTGTCTCATTTTCTGATTGGGGCTTAGAGACAGCCCAGGAAAAGACTCTGCCCCTTAGACAGCCATCTGGCAAGATCCTTAGATCCTAAGAAAGACCTCTAGATCATCAGGATAGGTGGTACCAGTAGCCCGGTCACATTCACACACACAACTCTTGGAGTCAGGCCTGGTACCCCTCTGGGACAAATAGCTAATCTGGCTCTGGTACATTTACATTCTAGTGAGTGGGTGACAGGCTAGGAGCAAGAGGAACCAATAGAGGAGGTAATCTCAGGTGGTCCTGAGCACTCCGAAGGCAACAGGGAACGGCGAGTGGCTGGGCTGGGCCACCTCCCATGAGCAGTTAGGATGGGCTTCCCTGGCATGTGGCACTTCGGAGTCCTGGAAGATGAGGAGTGGCTGGCCAGGAGGAGAGTGAACTCAGGAAAGGAGGGAGGAGATGAGGTGGAGAGTTAGGCAGAGGTCAGATCACCCAGGGCCAGGGAACTCAAGATGAGCATTTGACTGACCAGACGGTTCCACGGTGCAGATGGCCAGCTCTCTGGCTCASGGGAGAAGGAGCCGGAGCCTGCAAAGGGAAAGAAGTAGAGGACTAGTCAGTCTGCCAGGAGGGAGTAGTGAGAGTCTGGGCCAGCTGGTGAGAGAAATAGTGGGAGGATTTGGTGTGAGGGCTGGAGGTAGAATGCAGAGGCTGGGTTGTGTGCATGTGTGGCTTACCTGTGTGTCCAAGGTGGGAGGAGCGTGCACTGGAAAGGGAGGAAGCAGAAGTAAGTGGGTGGGTGGTGGCACTTGGTATCAGGACCAGAGGACAAGTTAAGGTCAGGGCTTGGGGAGTCAGAGCTCTTCTATGTAAACTGAAGATGCCTGTTAGATTGGCATTCTCTAAGATTGAATGCCAATATGCATTCCCTGCGATGCAGTGATTCCACCAGCCACAAACCCTGGAGTAAGTCATGTTCACCGGCACTAGGAGACACAGGAGAATGTTCACAGCAGCTATGTCTATACACCCAAATTCAGAACCACCAAAATGTCCATCAAGAACACAGTAGAGGGCTGGGGATGTGGCTCAAGCCGGTAATGTGCTCACCTGGCATGCGTGCAGCCCGGGTTCGATCCTCAGCACCACATACAGACAAAGATGTTGTGTCCGCCGAAAACTAAAAAAAATAAATATTAAAATTCTCTCTCTCTCTCTCTCTCTCAAAAAAAAAAAAAAGAAAAAAGAACACAGTAGATTGGGCCTAGGGGTAGCTCAGGGGTAGGTAGAGCACTTGCCTAGTGCGTTGGAGCCCTGGGTTCCATCCCTAGCACCCCCAACACACACACTCATGAGTACAGTAGCTAAATGGTGATGGTGCATTAGGCCATGGAATACTGGGCAGCACTAAGGGTGGACAAGAGCACACACAGGTACTTGTGTGAAAGCACGACTCCATGCACACGGCATTCCAAGACAAGCTGCTGCAGTGTTCAGGATGCATCATGGGTAGTAACTGGTACAGAAAAACTCTTCTCTATAAAACTCAGAGTAGTGGGCTAGACAGCTAAGCTCAGGCGGAGGCCGGAAGGTTTCTACAGTTGCTGATGGACCGTGATGTCCTGTTTCTTCATCTGAGGATCATCTTAAAATTTTTGTTCAATTATTCGTTTGTGTTGTGCAGTTTCCCTAAGTTTTAGTTTGCAAGGGGAGACAATGTTAAGGAGGGAGATGTGGGGGCGGAAACAAGTAACAGTTTGAAGCTCAAGGAAGACTGGCTGAGATCCACAATCACCAGTTTGAAAAGGCTCCACCTCTTGGGAACAAGGTCAACCCCTCCTGGGGGAGGGGACGCTAGACCTTGGACATACTCCTCTCCACACCCCCAGACTGACTCCCTGCGTGTTGCCGTGGGATGCGGTGGTCCCCGTTGGAGAAGCAGGGCCACCACCTTAGGAACAGGCACCGCCCCCAGGGACAAGACAGCCCCCTCTCCAGTACTGCCTGGAGACAGCTGTCCAGGGGTCTAGGGCCTGGAATGATGCCAGGGTTGTCATGGAGATCGCAGGCTGTGGAGTCCTGTGAAGCCTGAGGCTCCCACCCACCTCACCTCTCCCACAATCCTGGTGCTTCCCACGTGCAACAAGGGCCTCTTTTCATTTCCTGAGTGCCTCCCAAATGCACATGCTGAACTGCCCTCTGCTTGTCTCACTGTGGCCCTGTTTCATAGATGTGCTAATTTAAGAGTGGCTGGGGGTTAGTAACCAAGAGAGGCCGGCAGCTGGGGGGGGGGACCTGATCCCCTGATGGCTCCCTTTCCACCACACCCGAGTTCTCCTCATTCTTCCCCACCTCTGTGTTTGGTGCTATGGGTAGAGTGGTTTGGCAAATAGGCAAGACCATCCCTTGCCCTCATGGGGTTTCTGATCTAGTGGGAGGGGAGGCCAAGCACAGGTGGTCCAGGGTTGGCCGAAGTCAGGATGACTGATACCCAGAGCTCGGCCTGGTCTCCATGCCAATCCAGTAAGAAGGACGCCGTTTGGAGAAAAAGGGGAAAGAAGTTGTATTGCTTTGCTAGCAAAGGAGGAGCCAGGGGACTCCTGTCTCCGAGGAGGCTGTGCTTCTGTCAGAGGCCCTTCAAGGCCACACRCAGCTGCGCCCTGTGGGCAGTCGTGATTCACCTGAGTCGTGATTCACCTGCAGCCTTGCCGGCTGTTTCTTAGGTCCTCAGGGGCCCACTGCAAAGTCTGGGCTCCATTCTTGTCCTCTGTGAACCAAAGGACAGATAACTCGGCCTAGGATGGAAAAAGGTTGATCTTTCTTCCGCCATGGTTATGGAGAGAGAAAGGGGAAAGGGGGTGGGGTGTCAGTTTAAAAATAAGCCACAGCGACACGGCAGTGATCCGTTCAAGGGCGAGGTGGGCCTGCGGCACAGTGCTGAAGACGGAAGGCAGTTTTAGCTCGGGAGGACAGGAGAGGAGGCTGGGCGGAGTGCGGGGAGCTTGGGAAATTCTACCAAATGGCACGTGCAAATGTCCTGAGCCCAGGAAGAGAAGAGAGGGTGGTGGCGGGCTGAGGAAGCAGGAGAGCCGTCCTCTAGGAGGAGAGGGGCAGGCAGAGCCTGGTGGCGGGGTTGGTGTGCCTGTTAGGGGAAGGCCTGGGTTTATTCCGGAGGACGTGAGGAGCCACAGAAGAGCGTCAGCAGAGAAGCCACCTGGGCGGCTTTGGAGGCAGGGGACTGGACACCGGCGACGACGTGAAGCGGAAGAGCCTACAAGGGGGCGGCAGCCCCGGACCCGCAGCCCCGCCTGTCCCTCCCCGCCCCTGCCCGGGCCGCCTCCCGCGGGCCCCGTGCACCTGCGCCCGCCCGCGCCTCCTCCCCGCCCGCCCAGTCTCCCAAGCATCCGGCCTGGCCTCCACGGGTCCCGCAGGGATTTCTCCGACACACTAATCAGATCAGGTGACTCTCCCTAAAACTTTTCAGTGCGTCTCAGTGCACTCGGAACGACTCCAAGCGCGGCCTGCACCAGGAGCCCCGCACTTCCCGGCGCAGGGCGCTGGCCTCCAAGCCGCCTTTGCTGCCCAAACCAAGCCATCAAATCCCCCGCCAGCCAAGCCCCCTTACCGTCTTCTGCTTCAGTTTCTTTTCTATCATGCCCATTCCTGAATTATTATTTTTTAAAGAAAGAATTCTGGCCTTTGCAATGGATGACAAAATGACATAGGTACATACCCCAGGGAATTCAGAACAGCTAGCTGTCCAACAAAAATGTTCACAGTGATGTTTACAACAGCACTATTCCCCATGGCAAAAGATGGAAGCGGCCCAAACGTTCACCAATAGATAAATAAAATATAGTTTATTCGTGTAATGGAATATTATTCAGCCACAAAAAGGAATGATTCGCCTATTCACCTACAACATGCGTGTTTCTGGAAAACATGAGGCTAGGGGCCGCAGTTGTGGCTCAGTGGTAGAGTGCTTGCCTCGCATACATGAGGCACTGGGTTCAATCCCCAGCACCACATTAAAAATAAATAATAAAAATAAAGGTATTGTGTCCATCTACAACTTAGAAAAAAAAGAGGCTAAGTGGAAGCAGCTGTTGCAAAAGACCACAGGTTTTATAATGTCATTTATATTAAACACACACAGTAGTCGAATCCAGAGCCGGGAGACGGATCCAGGAATGACTGCTGAGTCGATGGGCTGATAGAAAAGTCCTGGGCCTGGACAGCATGGATGGTTGCACCATATTGTGAATATACTTGCTACTATGACCACTAAATTGTACACTTTGAAAGAGTCAAAATGGTCAGTTTTATGTTCTATGTATTTTACCAAATAAAAAAGTTGGAACACTACACACACCCAGACACTACCAGCTTTGAAATACTAGAGATACATCTGATTGCCTCTTCCTTCTCAAATGGAACCCCCACCCCCAATTGGTTATATTTTCCATAGATGTTTTTAGATTTTTACTCCTTATGTATATATTCTTTAAAATATAGTATTACTGACCAGATTTTTTTTAAAATCATGCTTCTGATCCACTATCATTTCTCCTCTTTGTGAAGTCAAAAACCTTAGTGAGACTCACTAGCTTTGAAACTAGTGCCTCATTTTCATCTTCTGTAAAAGGGGAAAATAATGCTCTCTATTTCAAAAGGTAAGGAGAAATATGGGCTCATTTAAAAATTGTTTTAGTTGTTGATGGATCTATATTTATGTGTGATACTGAGACTCGAACCCAGTACCCCCCACATGCTAGGCAAACACTCTACCACTGAGCCACCACCCCAGCCCTGGGCTCATATTTTTAAAGCACTTGGAAGAATCAGCTATTTTCATTAAGCCAGGCAGAGTGGCACATGCCTGTAATCCCTGAGACTCGAGAGGCTGAGGCAGGAGGATCCTAAGTCTGAGGCCAGTCTGGGCAACTTAGCAAGTCCTTGTCTCAAAATAAATGAAAAGGACTGGGGATGTAGCTCAGTGGTAAAGTGCCCCCTGAGTTCAATCCCCAGGACCAAAAAATATAAACAAGCTTTATAATTTTCATTTTATTGTCAGTATCCCCACTTAATTTATTTCCCCTTTACTTTTTTTTTTTTTAATATATAACACATTCCGAAGGTTTCAAACTCAGAAATTACAAAAGGATGAAGTGTAGTTAAGTTTCAGTCCTGGGAACAGGACTTTGTTGCCAGTTTCTTCTCTGGTCCTCCAGTTCTTCAGCGTGACCAGAGCGCACAGAGCAGGCCGGGCTGTTCTTCACCCTCCCCGCCCGCCGCCCCCATCACTGCTCGGGTACTTTACACAGTGGGCATCTTCAGTCTGCTTATGAAGGCTAGGACTCCACTGGCTAGATCAGTCATGGATTTGTCACTCACACCTCCTGGATGGGCATCTAGATTGCTTTGAGGCTTTTGCAGAGATGTGCCACACGAGCGAGTGACCTGGTACAGACATAATTTTGCATGTTTCTGATCTCTCTTAAGGAGAAATTCCTGGAATTGCTTGTGCTTGTACATAGCTCATCCCCGCTAAGTATAAAAGGAACTATTCGCCCACTTACTTGCCAACAATGTTTGGCATGAATGGAACCTACAAGAAACAGAGTCAAGCACACCTGCAACATGCCTTTTCTGCGGAACGTGAGGTTTCTGGGATGTGGTCCTGCTGTTCCATCCTGCAGGTTTCCACCAAAGCACTCGCCTCCTAGAAGACTTCATGAATCACCCCAACTCCCAGTGTGAGCTCAGCCCAGAGCCCCTCTATTCTGCATTCCTATAGCATCCAACTTCCTGCATCAGAGCACTCCGCACCCCACTGGCTGGTTTGTCTGACAGTGGATGGTCATCTCCTGGGACAGGGTGCAGTGGCCTCTGTTTTGGCCACTGTCCTTCCAGTACCAAGGACAGAGCTAGCCCATAGTAGGTGCTCAGTAAATACTGGCCACTTGCGATGAAATGAATATCTGCAAGGGCTTATCACAGAGAAGGAAACCGAGGCTTGGAGAATAGATTCACTTGCCCAGACTGCCAAAGGAAGGCTGGAGCCAGGTTCAAATCCAGCATGCCAGTACTTTCTGAAGACTGTGGCTGCATTCAACACCCTCCCCCACCTGCCCTCTGGCCCAACACAGTGCCTGGCACAGACAGGGCTTGATAAATGAGTATTTGTTGAAAGAATGAATGAATACGTGCATCTGCTGGGGAGTGGGGGGTGGCTGCATTCAGCCTCCCGGGCCCGAAGCCCCCTCCGTCTCCTAGCGGCCACCTCCCCCGCACAGGACCCAGGAGCCACAGCCGCCCTGCCTCCCGGCTCCCGGGTCCCCGGTCCTCCGCTTCCGGCTTCCCAGGCAGTCTTTCCTCTTCCAGGCTCCGACCAAAGGCCGAGTTTCCGGGGGGAAGGCTTAGGCGGTGACACCGAGCCCAGCCTCCTCCTCCACCCCCCACCACGCTCGGCCCCCTCCCTCCCCGCCACCACCGTCCGCGATCGGCCGGCCGCGGGGAAGGAAGAAAGGAGCCAAGGAGGCGGAGGTAAGACCCGGCGCCCAGCAGCCAGAGCAAGCCCCAGGCCCCGGGCTGAGAAACCCGCAGGGCCGCCACCCGCCGCCCAATTCTGCAGATCATGCTTGCGGGGAGCCGCAGGCTGGGCYCTGAGCGGATCGCCCCCTCCGGGACCTAGGGCCCCTGTCGCGGCAGCCTCCGCCCCCGACCCGTCGACCGGTCCAGGGTCCGGCCCTCAGCCTCCTCCTCCCTGGGGATCTCCAGCATCCAGGCTCCCAGACCCCTCCTCCCCTAGCTCTCCAGCCCGACCCCCTCCCCCAACCCCCTCCTCCACCTGGACCCAGGAACTCTGTGTCCTACCTACCAGGCAGTTAGACCACCCATCCCATCCAGTCCACACCCAGAAGCCCAGACCCCAGGGCCTTCCTCCCCCAGACCCAGGGGTCCAGACCTCAGCTTCAGACCTAGGGTCCAGGCCCAGCCCCCTCCTTCAGACCCGGGGGTCCAGCCCCCAGCCTCCTCCCTCAGACCCAGGGTCCAG